CCTTAGTATGGGGCCCGTAAAAGGGGCCCCCTTAATACCCCTTATACCCTACACAACCCAAGGGCCCATCCTTGAAAGAAAGTAAGGAACATATTAAGGGCCATGAAACTACCCTTAGATGATTTGAAAACACAGGTTCAATCAACTAGGACCCATCGTCCTGGCAGCCCAGCAACCATCTTATCATAAGAGTACCCTTTTTGGGGTTGGTTACTTTGTAGGGGAACCCTGAACCCTAAACCCTAAACCCTAAACCAAAAAAGGGGAGAAGGGCACCACGGGGCTACCAAGCAGTTTAGGGTTTCAGGGCTTGGTGAGGTCTTCGGGCTTCAGGTTGATGATTCTTCTAAGGGTAGTTACATGGTCCCTTAGTGTGGGCCCTTAGAAGGGGACCCCTTACCCTGTACAGATTCAGGGCCCATACTTCAGAACCCTTTAAGGGAGGTTCGGGACCAGCTTAAGGGCCCATGAAACTACCCTAAGGGCACAACTAGCCCTAAACCCTCAACCCTCAACCCTGAACCCTGAACCCTAAACCCTTTTGACCCTAAACCCTGAACCCTAAAGCCTAAACCCTAAACCCTAAACCCTAAACCCTAAACCCTAAACCCTGAGTCGGCACCAGGCACCCGGCTATGTGAAAGCACCAGAGCGCACATCGACCAAGTCGAGACCCCGGGAGGCAGTCTGAGGCCCAAGCAGCAAGAGAAGGATGCTTAGGGTTTAGGGTTTAGGGTTTAGGGTTTAGGGTTTAGGGTTTAGAGTTTAGGGTTTAGGGTTTGGGGTTTAGGGTTTGGGGTTTAGGGTTTGGGGTTGATCTCAATGGTGGTCCTGATTTTGCGCATACCCTGATGATCAGGCTCCGCACGATAATCGGAAGCTCGCAAAGGACAAAAATGTAGAGAGCCGGCGATGTCAAGGTTGATTACTCTGAGCTACAAGGAGCCTACTCTGCACAGGAGGCCTGCAGTAACCCCTGACAAGTACCTTGTAGAATTTCCGAAAAAGTGCGGAGAGGGGGATATGTGATGTAGATGGACCCACATGTGCGGGACCCGACTATGCGCCTAAGCCCATATTGCGAAATTGCAATACTCGGGCAGCGACGCGTGGCGCATGGTCTCATCCCTTAACCCTTTTGCCTAAACCTCAACCCTAAACCCTAAACCCTAAACCCTAAACCCTAAACCCTAAACCCTGGTAACCCTAGACCCTGAACCGCAAACCCTTCCGGCCCACTCACTGGGTCCACCTATCCTCGATTGCGGCCATGTCAGCAAGGGCAACGTTCTAGAGTTTCGACTGTTTGGAACCCCTACTTGGTAGCCCAGCAACCAGATAATCACAAGAGCACCTTTTTTCTGGGGTTGGTTACTTTATAAGGGAACCCAGAAACCAAAAAAAACGGTAAAGGGCACCACCGGGCTAGCAAACCTGTAAGGAGTTTAGGGTTCAGATGTTTAGACTGACAATCTTGCTTGGGCTTGCTCCTGGGAATGCATCCGTGAGATGCTGTGATAGAGTTTAGGGCTTGGGGTTTAGGGTTTCGGGTTTAGGAATTAGGGTTTAGGGTTTAGGGCTTGGGGTTTAGGGTGCCGCATAGACTCCTACACTCGACATCCTGAATCTTTAACCCCTCTATCCTTCGTCGGCTTGGGTTCAGGGTTCAGGGCTTGGGGGGGCTCCTGGCTGGTTCTTAATAGGGAATGCGGGGAATGAGGTACCTTATATTAATATAATCCCTTAAAGGGTACACATAGGGCCCTAATTCCCGCATTCCCTGCTAAGAACCGGGGGGCTTTGTGGCTCAATGGCCTTCACTCGAAGGTCTCGGCTCAGTGGTAGTGGTGGTGGGTGGCGCATCCTGCCACAAGCTCAATCCGGGGTACTCTTGGCTTGAGGCGCTCAAAGGCTTGCTAGTTCTTCGTAGCGAAGTCTTACTACACCCAAGAGTAACCGAGGCAAAAAGAAGGGTGCCAATTTTGGCTCCAAGGGGCTGATAAGGGAACCTAAACCCTAAAAAACGGAATACGAGCCTAGTCTGGGTCTCAGTAGCCCGAAACCAAGGGCCCGCCAAAGCCTTCCCCACCGTTGAGAGTCAGTACCCTAAAGACTCCCTTAGTGCGGCCCAATTCTGAAACTCCCTTGTAAGAGCTAGCAAGTGTAAGGTGAGGCTCGGTTTTGGAGATTCCTAACTCTAAAACCCTAAAACCCTACAACCCTAAAGCCCTAAAGCCCTAAACCCTAAACCCCCAAACCTATCCATTGGGGTCCTCGAAGAGAGTCGATGCAGAGAGGCTCTTGCCGTCAGAGGGACTCTCATCTGCATCCTGCAGTGCGTCGGGGGACTTCCGAAACAAGCGCGTGGGGAGTCAACAGGTTTAGGGTCTAAGGGGGTTTAGGGTTTAGGTTTTTTTTTGCCACCCGTCTAGCAATGCTCCACGGGGCAACTGAAGAGGGAATACTGTGTACAAACTCCAGAGCCCAAATTGACCAAATTTCTAGGTTCCACACCAACCCTAGCTCCCAGCCAGGATTCACCAACGGAGAAAGTTAACCTACACACTAAGATCTTCAAGGTATGCTCATGGTTGGTGTGTCTTGTTGTCCCCGGAACACTTCCAGCAGACCTGGCGCCCATCTGTTCAATTCAGCGCCTTGGCCTTCACCAGAAGCACCCCGGAACGAGGAAAATTAGTTCCCTAAGTCCATGCCGGGGGGAAGGTAGTATCGGGTATTACTAGGGTTTAGGGTTTAGGGTTTAGGGTTTAGGGTTTAGGGTTTAGGGTTTAGGGTTTAGGGTTTAGGGTTTAGGGTTTAGGGTTTAGGGTTTAGGGTTTAGGGTTTAGGGTCAACTGCTTTCGGAACAACCTCAAAGACCACCATCTGCTGAGGTCCTACGTGACTTGTACGGTGCCCTGTATCAACTTTCACCAACTGAACTTTCTGAAAACCAGTGCGAAAAATGCGGTCCGGGAGAGGCGTCTGTATCAAACTCGGGGATCCCTCCCCCAACCAATGGCCCATAGGGCTTCGAGTTCAGGGTTTAGGGTCTAGGGTTAGGGTTTAGGGTTTTAGGGTTTTTGTGTCTCTAGGGTGTTTAGGGTTTTCAGGCCTTTCCCTTAGGGTGTCCAAGGCCTGCGTGCTCTGCGAGCTCCATGAGGCGTCGGACAAGGACGGCTTGAGCTTCGCCTCCAACTCCTGGGCCTTCCACGCGACGGGAGGGTTCTTAAGAAGGGGGGGGGGGGGGGGGGAGGGAGGCCACCAAAGTTTGTAGGGTTCTTAAGGGAGGGTTTAGGGTTTAGGGTTTAGGGTTTAGGGTTTAGGGTTTAGGGTTTAGGGTTTAGGGTTTAGGGTTTAGGGTTTAGGGTTTAGGGTTTGGGGTTCAGGGTTTGGGGTTTGGGGTTTGGGGTTTGGGGTTCAAGGGTGACATGTGACCCAAGGTTCCCCCAATACTCCCTACTGCCTAAAGCTCCCGAAGCTCCCCTAAGGTTCCTCTGGTACCTACCACCCTTGAACGACCCTCCCTTAGAACTCTATAATAAAAAAGATCTAAACCTGAAACCCTAAAATCCTTGAACACAGGCTTAGGGTTTAGGGCCCAGGGTTTAGGGTTTAGGGTTTAGGGTCTAGGCGCCCCTGCATCCGAAACAGTCCCAAACCCTCATGCATGTCGGCAATGGAAGCTTTCAAAGGCGGCCTTGTTCATCTTGGCTGACATGATGGGCATGCGACGGCTCAGCTACAGCTTTGAGCCCGCGGCATCGAAAACGGCACTCATCTTTCATTCCGGGCATTCTAGGGACCTTCAACTGTTTGGTTCTGTGGATGTATATATATATATATCTACACGTAAAATGGAAATTGCCAGCCTGTGTAATCCTTAGATGAAGAGCTGAGCAGGGGCATATAAGGTTCCCAATTACCCAATTCCCGACAAGAGAACTGGCAAGACTACCAAAACCCTAAACCCCAAAGCCTAAAGCCTAAACCCTACACCCTAAACCCTCAACCCAAAACCCTAAACCCAAATACGGGGTCTGGACCCTGCCCTTTTACTTCTCTTGAGGAGTTTCAGGTTCACCCTGGCACCGTTTAGCACCACCACCTCCCCCCACCAAAGGAAACCCGTACATCCAAAATCCAAGATTATCTCCTGAGGACCTTTGATATGTGGGGGTTTCCGAAAATGGGGGGGATACCCTGGGCTCCTGATTTTCAGGTGATCCTTCAAAATTGGGGGTCCCTTATTTTCGTAAACCTCCATGTAGCAGCTTTCTAACAGCAACGACATCAGGGCCTTCAACTACACCTCGTGTCACCTGAGCCTTGGACTGTTAGGGCTTCAGGGGGTTGAGAGGGTTTAGGGTTTAGGGTTCAGGGTTCAGGGTTTAGGGTTCAGGGTTCAGGGTTCAGGGTTTAGGGTTTAGGGTTCTAGGGTTTGCTGAGGGTGTTCTGGTGCAGCGGATCCCACAGTGTTTCGTGTTTGTTGAGGTGTCAAGGATGTCCTTAGCAGATCTCACGCAGCAAGACTTGGCGTATACCTAGTTGTCGAGGTCCCTCGATACGTATCCTGAAGCACCAGAGACTGCAAGATCTCCGTTAGGTTTAGATTCGCGGCTTCTTTGCTTTCTGGTTCGGAAACGGGAATGCATATCACCCCTTAAAGGGCACCATAATCAATACAGGGGAAATTTAGGGAATTCTCCAGCTCCCTACTACGGAGAAGTGGAAAGCAAGGCGGTGGCCGTCTCTGCGTCGCTCCAGCGGGCCTTTTTGCCCCTGACGGCTGTGTGGCAAGGCACCTCCCCAAACCCAAGCCCTGAAATGCACCCCGGCCAGCTTCTTGTCTTACACGGAGAAATCCTCAGACGTTCCAATCTCAAGGTGGAGCCCTAGACCCTAAGAACCCGAAACCCCAAACCCTAATCTTACCGAAGCCACCTCAAACCCTACATGCCAAATCCGGACAGCCGCCTACTGCATGCGGAGTGCAATGCCTACGACTCGGGTTGGAACCCCATCGGCCCATCCCCCTTCCGCGCGCGGCGCTCAGCGAAGTCGATCTGGGCAGAGACCCTAAACTCAACCCCAAGTCCCAAACCCTATAGGTCCCAAACCCCCAACCCTAAATCCTAAACCCTAAACCATAACACCACAAAACCCTAAAACTCTAAAGTCCTAAAGCCCTAACACTCAAAACCCTAAGTGACAGCCTTGGGGTTGGTTGTTTAGGGTTTGGGGTTAAAGGTCCTTTAGTTGAGGTTCGGGGTTTCGGGTTTCGGATTTAGGGTTTAGGGTTTAGGGTTTAGGGTTTGGGGTTTGGGGTTTAGGGTGGGGTCTCGGATTTTTGCTCCGTGTCCCTGTGTCCTGGTTTGCTCAGGCCATGTTGTCAGCAATGAACCGTGCTTTTCAAATTTCTCTAAGCGGCAGAAATGCAGTCGAAATCCGCAAGCGTTCAAGTCAACACGGCTGAGGCTTCCGTTTTAGGGTTTCGGGTTTAGGGTTCAGATTAACTCAAACCCTAAACCCTAAACTGTAAACCCCTAAAGCCCTTACACCCAAAACTGGGGTTTGAGGACCTGCAGCCGGTCTAAGGCATGCGCTGGAGAGAGGAATGCTCAGAATGACCCAACCATCTAGGCGACCGTCAGCTCATATGGGGCTTGGGGTTTAGGGCTTTGTCTTTAGGGTTTAGGGTTAGGGCTTAGGGTTCAGTGTTTCTGTCGGGTTTTGGGTGTTAGGGTTCAGGGTCTTAGGGATAGGCTTTCACGCGCACCACCTCGAGCAGCGGTGCAACCCCGCAAAACAAAATCTGCAAGCCTTAGACTCAAACCCCGCAAGCTGCGTTTAAACCGTACACCCTGTAAGCCTTTTATGCTCAAACTCCAAACCCTGCAAGGCTTAAACCCTGAATGCCAACCCTGTCGTTCAGTTCGAGGCCTTGTTGGGGTTCATCCGCTCGTTGATCTTGTGAGCAGCCTAGGTAAGGGGGGGAGAGATTTTCGTGGGTTTGGGCAGATGGGATTTGGGGTTTATGGGCGTTATGGGGTTCCCAGGCAGCGTCAGTAAGCAGAATCACCCAGAGACCCTAAACGCTACGCTGCTACACGCTAAAATGCTAAATCCTAAACCCTACACCCTAAACCCTAAACACCCAGCTTCATAGTCACTTTAAGTGCGGGTTTAGGGCTTCGGGGCCTCTAGGTATCAGACATGCGTGGGTCAGGCAGTCCGGAAGTCCGGGCTACAGACTGCAGCCTCGCATATCACACTGGTTTAGGGTTTAGGGTTTAGGGTTTAGGGTTTAGGGTTTAGGGTTTAGGGTGACTTCCAACATCGCCGCCCGCAGTATTCAGGAGAGCGTTGCAAAGATAGAGCTCTCAAGGCACAGAAGTGCCCTCAGGGTTTGGGGTGTAGGGTTTAGGGCTTTAAAGTTTGTTCGTTCTTTGCTGATGCATCTTGGCCTGTGCCTACCTCGACAGGGTGCTAGGGATTCGGACTTTAACGTTGAGGGTGCTATAGGCCTCAGGGAGTTTGGTTTGGCTTCATTTAAAACCTTAAACACTAACCCTAAACCCACCCCCTAAACCCTAAACCCTAAACCCTAAACCCTAAACCCTAAACCCTGAACCCTGAACCCTAAACCCTAAACCCTAAACCCTAAGCCCACTTTTTTTAGATCTGGGCCTCTGCGTGGCCGGCTTTGTTCAACAGCGCTGCCTGGGTCTTCAACATTGCCTGTGGACAACAAGCGGGGCTGAAGGGCATTAGGTGTTCTTAGGGTTTAGGGTTTAGGGTTTAGGGGTTTAGGGTTTAGGGTTAGGGTTTAGGGTTTAGGGCTACATGGAGGCTCTGGGTTCTGGCTTCGGGAAACTTAAACGCAAGTTCCCATACTCAGGGTATGCCGGTATGCCCTATTACTTGCTATACAACCCTGGGTTGTCGAGTTCCTACAGGAAGGAAACTGCATGTCTTACTCTATAACATAACCAACCATCTTCTGATAATTTGGTTTAAGGCCGTGGAAGCGAACCCAGGTTGGGCGTTCGAAGCTCCCTGGCGCTATGGCTGCGCAGTGCAGACAGTCCAAGACCGAACCCCCTAAGCCCTAACCCTAAACCCTTCACCCAAGCAGAAGGACGAATTCTTCCAGAAGCAATCGAGAAAATGATATATGAATGCGGACATGGAGGCCGAAGAACCCTAAACCCTAAACCCTAAACCCTAAACCCTAAACCCTAAACCCTAAACCCTAAACCCTAAACCCTAAACCCCACCTAAGCCCTAAGCCCTTTTCTTTGCTACATGTGTATCGGCGGGTTGGTCAGGGTATAGGGTTTAGTTCAGGACGATTCCGGGCGGCATGGGCATGGATGGTTGCCCTGCTGGAGCCCAAGCCCTTCAGCCTTCGCACCATAGATAGGGTTCCCTTCGTAAGCCTAAGCCCTAAACCCTAAACCTTTAAACCCTAAACCCTAAACCCTAAACCTTAAACCCTAAACCCTAAACCTAAACCCTAAACCCTAAACCCTAAACCCTAAACCCTAAACCCTAAACCCTCAATCATGGGCTTTTCACGGGTTCGAGGTTTTTAGGGCTTAGACAACCTGGGCCCGAATTCCTGAACAGCGCCTGGTGCTTCATCTCTTCAGCTTTATCCTTGTTCATCCGCAACTTGCTGACCTCTGGAGGATTAGGGTTTAGGGTTTAGGGTTTAGGGCTTAGGGCTTAGGGCTTAGGGCTTCGAGCTTAGGGTTTTTTGCTAAGGGTTTAGGGTTTAGGGTTTAGGGTTTAGGGTTTAGGGTTTAGGGTTTAGGGTTTAGGGTTTAGGGTTTAGGGTTTAGGGTTTAGGGTTTAGGGTTTAGGGTTTGGAGAATGGTGCCCCGCACTCTTGAACCCGAAGCCCAGAAAGGGCTGAGGGTTGAGGGTTTCAATACAGGGTTTAGGGTTTAGGGTTTAGGGTTTAGGGTTTAGGGTTTCGGGTTTCGGGTTTCGGAACTTTAGACCAGGATCTCTCCCCAAAGACTGAAAAAACCTTACGGCATCCGAACTTGCTTTGACATCCTTTCCCCCCTCAGTTGGACTCAAAAGAGGTTTAGGGTTTGGAGGTTTGGGGTTGGGGGGTTTAGAGTTTGGGGTTCAGGAACCCTTGCTACCCTTGCCTGCCCCCCCACCCCCCCACCCCCCCACCCCCCCGACCCCCCCGACCCCGCTGACTCATCCCGCTTAACCCCCTTGTAACGAAGCGCATAACCCTGTACAGATCCTGTTATACACATTCCTTTCGAGGCCCGTTCTGCACTGGCATCACACTCTGAGCTGCAAAGCCAGAAGTAAACAAGCCTGATATCAACCCTCAACCACGGCCAAAAAACTGCAAACCTTGCTCTCCTGCCCTCCTAGCAGTCTTTCCTCAACCCCGTGAGCCCTGAGCCCTAAAAACACCCCTGTTGTAAAACCCCAGACACGCCCCGAAATAAGGCCCCAAACCCTAAACCCTAAACCCTAAACCCTAAACCCTAAACCCTAAACCCTAAACCCTAAACCCTAAACCCTAAACCCTAAACCCCGGAAGCTGCAAAGACCCCAGGGCCTCAGCGCCGATCATGTTCTCCTGCTTCTTTGCACGCAGGGCCATGACTTCGTCTCGCCGCGCCTGGCAGCTCGACTATTTGCTTAAGAAGCCCCCTCCCCCAACAAAGAAGATAATCATCTCTATATATATATATATAAAGAAATGAAATAAAAAAAATAAATAAATATTACCCTTGTAAGGGGTTCTTAAGGAAATAGTAGTTCTGGTTCAGAGGATTCAGGATTTCAGGACTTCTTGCCACCCGCCTCGCTGATCTGTCGACTTAGGAGTTAGGGCCCTAAGCCCTAAACCCTAAACCCTAAACCCTAAACCCTAAACCCTAAACCCTAAACCCTGGCTTCAGGATCTCGAGCTCCGATATTAGCTTTCGTCGCTTGGAGAGCTCCAGGGGCTCAGAGTGAGGGTGCTTTTATTTTTTTTTGTGGGTTTAGGGTTTAGGGTTTAGGGTTTAGGGTTTAGGGTTTAGGGTTTAGGGTTTAGGGCTTGGGGTGGGGGGGGGCGGGGGGGCGGGGGGGGGGTCCATTCTTGGGGTCCCACATTCGACCAATCCCCGAATATTCGTGGCATTTCGAGTCGGGAGTCGCCTAGCGATTGTATAGGCTTCGCCTGTGCAAGGAGGGAGGGGATCGATCTCATGCCAGGAAACGCACATCCGGAGCCTGCCCCCGAGAGACTCCCAACAGTCAGCTGCTACGCAGCTCGAGGCTGACCTTAGGGGCTGAATGCCCTAGCCCAAAAAAGGTTAACCTTTGATTCGTGATAAGACTCTATGCCACAACAAGATCAAAGGTGAACTACCCAGCTCCTAAGTGACTTTAGGGGTTCAGGGTTTAGGGGTTTAGGGTTTAGGGCTACCCGGGTTCAGGGTTGAGGGGTTTAGGGTTTAGGGTTTAGGGCTACCCGGGTTTCAGGGTTTAGGGTGATCATGCCATCGTGGGTGCGTGGCGCTTGGAGCCTTCTCGTCGTCGAAGGAGGCAAGCGAGCTCTGAAGCGCCTCTGCTGCTCTAGCTTGGTGAACCCTAAACCCTAAACCCTAAACCCTTTTTACGGCTAGGACTGCTGCACTGCCTGCCCGGGACCTTCTCACCCTAAAGCCTAAACCCTAAACCCTAAACCCTAAACCCTGAGCCCTAAGCCCTAAACCATAACAAAGTGTCTTAGGGGCTGGGTAGTTAACTTTTTCACCTTTTTGGTTGTATCGAATCCTATTACAAATAAAGGTTGTTTTTTTGGGCTAGGGCATTCAGCCCCTGAGGTGTAGTGCATGTTTTTGGTGCACCTAATTTTCCTCAATATAGAGACTTGGCATAAACTTCAAGACTGCATGTGGCCCGTTTTTGGAAGCCCTGCATTACAGGGGACCCAAGAAAGGCCAGAACTGCCCAGACGCGTATGAATCATTTGAATTGCCGCAAGAAGTCCAGTTGCCTCTAGTTGCGGAGGCCTCCTAAGCCCTATAAAGCCTATAAACCGTACAAACCGATCATAAACCCTAAACCCTAAACCCTAAACCCTAAACCCTAAACCCTAAACCCTAAACCTATAGATTGGGATGGGCAAAGTAAACCCGAAACCACAGCACATGGTAGCAGCCAAAGGGCGGTGTCGATGACCGCCTCAGCCTTTTGCTTTCTCCTGGTCGAGGGCTTAAGGTCTCAGGGTCAGTTTGGGGTTGTAGGGTTTAGTTTTTTTTTGCCATCATTGAACTTATCCTAAAGCCTAAAAACCCTTTTTAGACCCTAGATTCCTTCGCCATGCTTGGGGGCCCTTGATTGTGATAAATCTTCCCTAAGAATGTATCTGTTTATGGTTCATCTTGAATACGAAGAAGTCAGGTTCCCGCAGAAGGAACACAACTCTCAGGGTCCAAGCAAGCCAAGCCCTAAACCCCCCACGTAAAATTCCGAACTCCTGACTAAGAAAAATGAAGATGCACGATGTGCAGAATGGAATTAGAGAATCAAGTCAAGTACCTTGTATCCCCCTATGTGACCCCCTTGAAGATTTTGTTGTTGCTATTTCTTTAGGGTTTAGGGTTCAGGTTTTGTGCGGCCCCTAGTTCCCGACCGGTTAACCAGCAAGTCATTCGGGGGAGGGGTTCTTAGGGCCCCTAGGATTCTTAGGGCTCTTAGGGTTCTTAGGGCTCTTCTGGGTTCTTGTGGGTTCTTAGGGCCCTTAGGGTCCTTCTGGGTTGTTTGGGCTCGGGAGTGGGGGAGGGCCTCTTGTTGGAGGCCTGCTGCTCGAAAACTTGGATATTGTAGTACCTGTTCGGCAGTCGCAGTGAGCTCCCCACCCTACCAGCTACAGCATGTCCATGTATTCAGAGTTGGCCATAGTTAGTGCAGAAGGGGTCTGGTGATGTGGTGGCTCGCACGATGGGAAATCTGCAGCCTAAAGGGCAGAGTTCTGAAAAGCACAGAATATCATAAGCAAAGATGATGTCACTCTATTAACCCTTAACCCTGAACCCTGAACCCTTAACCCTTAACCCTAAACCCTAAACCCTAAACCCTAAACCCTAACCCCTAACCCCTAAACCCTAAACCCTAAACCCAAACCCTAAACCCACCCGGGGGCCATGTCCCGAAGCGATCGATTTTGGGCATACAGGGGTCAGGCTTCAAGGTCTCTCCTACTTCGGTTGCAGGAGGACTTGGGGCTTTTGCCTTGGAGTTTGGGCAAGGTTTGGCTTGGGGTTTGGTGTCTAGGCCCTAAACACTAAACCCTAAACCCTAAACCCTAAACCCTAAACCCTAAACCCTAAACCCTAAACCCTTAACAGGGTTTCTAGGGCTTGTAGGGTGCGTCTTGGAGGGTTTGCAGGGTTTGTAGGCTTTAAGCAGGGTTTGGATCGATGATCAGCAACTGTCGGGTCGGTAAGATGCCTAAACCCTAAACCCTTAACAGGGTTTCTAGGGCTTGTAGGGTGCGTCTTGGAGGGTTTGCAGGGTTTGTAGGCTTTAAGCAGGGTTAGGATCGATGATCAGCAACTGTCGGGTCGCTAAGATGCCTAAACCCTAAACCCTAAACCCTAAACCCGAAACCCCAAACCCTAAACCCTAAACCCTAAACCCCAAACCCCAAACCCTAAACCCGAGGTTGCATGGCTTCAATGGGGTCCTGACGGGCTCCAACCCTCCGAACCCTCCTCTTGCATCCAGGCCTCGTAGCGACTGCCGGGTATTTGAAACTACGGGCCGAGCCAGTAAGCTAACAGCACTCGTGGCTAGTAGCTCACTCTCTCAGCCCTCCTAACCCTCCAAACCCGGTAATTACCCTCCTAGAAAAACCCTCCTTAAATACCCTCCTGACCATGAACCCTAAACCAACCGGCTGGGCTGCTTCTTGGACGGCATCGTGGCGGTGTTGTAGTCCTCCACGTACTCCTCCCGAAAACTTGGCACCAGTGGCTTTCCATTTCTGCGGGTCTGATTTTCTGGTTTAGGGTTGAGGGTTGAGGGTTGAGGGTTGAGGGTATAGAGTTGAAGGAGAAGGGGTTTAGGGGTCTTTTTGGATAGAATGGGTAGCTTGGGCAGTGTACAACACGTACGTAGGGAGCATACGGTGGGTAAGGGACTGATGTTGGTAATCATTTAGGCCGTTAGACAGTAAGGACTGAAGGAAGAGCACCAAAACATATTCGTGACCCATTCCGTCATGCCCTACGAACCAGTCGTAGGCAAACGGCCCTAATCCAAAAGCGACATCCCGAGAATGTAACATCCTTTGGGCACTGAACTCTTGTAGGGTTCAAGGGTTCAGGGCCGTGGGCAGGGCCGTGGGTCTAAGCCGACCCAAAGGGCGCAAAGCAGCTAAGGGCCGTCCGTGCTGAAACTGCCAACGACAAGGGGCTCCAACATGAGCCCCGAAACCCTGAACCCAAAAGACACTCACCGCGGGGCCTTGAACAAATCTTTGAGCTGCATCCTGAGAAGAAGGTGCGGCGTTTGCTTTGAGTCTGCTTTTCTGACCCTACCCTAACCCGTAAACCGTAAACCGTAAACCGTAAACCGTAACCCTAAACCCTAAACCCTAAACCCTAAACCCTAAACCCTTGCAAGAACCCCTTCACCCTGGACCGTCTCAGCCCCTCACTGTCCCAGGATGTCCGTGTTGATCTTTCGGACCTCCTGTTCGCTTCGCGAGGTTGAATGCTTAGGGTTTAGGGTTTAGGGTTTAGGGTTTAGGGTTTGGGGTTTGGGGTTTAGGGTTTAATTAGGGTTTAGGGTTTAGGGTTAGGGTTCAGGAATTATAGGGTGAAAGGGTTTCAGGTTTAGGGATGATAGGGTTTAGGGTTCAGGGATTGTAGGGTGAAAGGGCTTAAGGTTTAGGGATTATAGGATTTAGGGTTTAGGGTTCATGAGCAAGTAGGTGTTTGCCTGCCGGGGTTTAAGGTTTAGGGCTTACTGGGGTAGGTTTGCTATGAACACTAAATGTTTATGGCCTTGTGTGGACTATATGGGGATTAAGGCTTAAGCGTAATAATAATGAAAGACAAATTCGAACCTACCCCTGTTTAGGGTTCACGAGTAAACAGGCTTCCAACAGCCTATCAATATGGATGCTTGGATAACTCACGCTAATGGCTGGCGGCTCAACACTTTCTCGATTCGAACCCTAGTAGATATGTTCAGATATACACACACATCACGATTCTTCAACCCGAACCTGGCGAACCTCCTAGGCCCTAAACCCTTCTGAACCTGGAAGCTGCTTCGTGCCAGGACACGAAACTACACTTCAGCCAGCAAAGACCTCACTGAACACCAGATGCAACCCGATACCCGAAACCCGAGGGGTGTGGGACCCTAAACCCTAAACCCTAAGCCCTACACCCTAAACCCTAAACCCTAAACCCTAAACCCTAAATAAAAGGTGTGGGACACCAGGGCTTTGGGGTTTTTAACTCGACTTTCATGCAGCTGGAGCCGGTCCGCTTCGCAAATGCACTCATCACAGGAACACTGTGCATGGAGAGCTCATAGGGGTTTTTAGGCGGGGGTAGGGTTTAGGGTTTAGGGTTTAGGGTTTAGGGTTTAGGCTTTAGGCTTTAGGGTTTAGGGTTTAGGGTTTAGGGTTTAGGGTTTAGGGTTTAGGGTTTAGGGTTTAGGGTTTAGGGTTCCGGGTCTAGGGTTTAGGGTTTGGGGTTTGGGGTTTGGGGTTTGGGGTTGAGGGTCTAGGGTCTATAGGGTGTAGGTTCAGAAGGTTTCGGCTCCATCTGGTATTCTCTCCAGCGCTGTGCTGTGGGCAAGAGATGAGGACCTTGTTGTGGGAGATTTGCATTTTTTAAAACTTCGCTCTGTGCAAGCCATGAACACCTCAAACACTGTAGGATGAACTCGTCTCCTGAATATTTTCAGCTCAGCTGTCCAGTACCTAGGGGTTTTAAAGGTTAACCTTTGGGATTATAAGGGGAATATATTAACCCAAAAAGGTTAAAGGTTACCTACTCTACTACTAAGTCAGGGATGTCATCGACACAAACCGCCGATCCGGGGTCGTGATCTGCATCTGCCGTGGAGGTTTCCAGAGGCAGATCTCTGACACCTTTCCACTTGGAACAGGCTGTTCGTGAGAAGAAGTACATACATACGTCTGCAGCGATCAAGATCGTGATCAGTAGAAGTGGCAGCCAGTTGCAGCAATCCGTAAGTGCGATAGACAGGGGCACAGGTAACCATATCAAAATGGAAATGAGCGTCTGAAGTTTGGTAAGAGCAAAGATGTGCAACCAGTTGTCGATACCTGCTGCAACTTTCCCTAGCTGAAAGGCCACATGCACTTGCAAAAGCAGGGCCGCCGGCAAACTCAGCCAGTTGGTAATGTCACGCAGCACCCACGTCCAGTGGCATCCGCTGCACTCATCACCAGGTCCAGAAACCTAGCTTGGCCTTTCAAACCTCTGAACATACTCCTGAATATCATCTTCATTTGCAAATATAACCTTCTCAAACCCAACGAGGGTTTAGGAGCTAGGGTTTAGGGCAACCCGGTAAGGGAAAACCAAAAGCAAAAACAACAAAAAAAACAAAAGCAAAAAAAAAAAAAACTACCCCAAGCGCCTACCCAGGAAACCCAGCGAGGGATGAGAATCGAGAGCCACGGGAAGCTGCAGGCCAGGCCCGACAGTCCTTGGCAAATTCCAAGGGTTTAGGGTTTCGGGTTTAGGGTTTGGGGTTTGGGGTTTGGGGTTTAGGGTTTAGGGTTTCGGGCTTAGGGCTTAGGGTTTAGGTTCAGCGTTTAGTAGGGGTCGAGGGTTCAGGGTAGTTTAGGGTCGAGGTTCAGATGTTAGGGTTGGTTGAGATTTGAAGTCGTCCTGCCAATTGAGGGCTTGCTTGGATCTACTTTAGAAGGTTTGAGGGATTGGGTTAGGCAGTGTTTCGGTTTTCCGGGATTCTGAGTGGAGTTCTGTGGGAATATTCTAGACTAGAAGGCATTTCTGAGGAAATCCCATGACATGCTAGGCAAATCCCACCGAAGGCAACAAAACAAAACAAAACACTCCCAAAACAAGCTAAAAAAGCTATGCATTTCCAAGTTTTCGGCCCGTTGAGATCCCATGACATGCTCGAAAAATCCTAGAACAAGCTAAACCAACTAAGAACTTCCGAAAGTTTCGGGCCCAGGAGTGAAAAAAAGGTACAAAATCTGGGGGAAGGTTTCTCTTCCCCGGTGCACCTGCCTTTCTCCTACTTGGCATGTTTTGAGCCTGTTGGCATCACGGCAAGCAGCACCCAAGGAGCCACATTGAGCTATGTTCAGCGAAGGATTTCACTCGGACTGTTTAGGTCCTTTGATGGGGCCCCGGCTGTGAGCGCAGCTTCAGACAAGCAAGCTATATGCGCATTTGAGGCTTAGGGTTTTGTAAGGGAATCTTCCCCCCCCCCCCCCTCCTTATAGTGACCTTCCCAGCCAGGGCTGGAAAGGCAAACTCACAACTTCAGCTCAGGACGAACCCGTGTTCTGCAACCAAGATGCCCAACAGATACGCGAACAGTGCATTGTTCCTCATTCTCGGCACAACTTCTTCACTTAGCACTTCACGGGCTGCCCGGTTGAAGGCGCGCAGGTGGCTGTCATCGTTCGGAGATGAGCCAGAGTTTCCATACCACTTTGCCAGGACATCATAGATGAGCCTGCGATCACATGGTATCTCTGTGCCATCCGGTAGCTCATGGTTGACAGAGCAGCAGTAGCAGTCAGCTTTTTGGACTTCAAACGACTGCACCTGCATAGGGAGCTCAGCCACGTCTTTCATCATCACCATCCAGAGGAGAAGAAAAGCTGGCTTCAGTGTCAAAGATATGGACAAGTGAGCACCCACAAGGGACATGAAGCCTCCTAGAGGGAGTTGGGTTTGGCCCATTCTGGCGAAGGTAACCATGGCAGTGATGCTTTGTAGGATCAGCCAGACCAAGTAATTCATGCCAAAAAACACCGCCATTTGCCTTGCCAGCAACCGTATGCCGTATTATCTTAAGGCTTTAATAAGGGTACCCTTGTTGGGGCCGCTTGCTGTTACAAGGGGGCCTAGAACCCAAAAAGGGCAAAAGGGTACCACACAGCTACCAAGTTGCACGGGGAGTACAGTCACCTTCTTCGTCCGGTGCTCTTGACGCAGAAAGGTAGCCATCCTCATGCTTGACACACACACACGCACCCACACAGAGCAGAGGTGATTCAAAAGCTCGGCCAACCCTCAAAGCCAAAGCCCTCAAACCCTAACCCCCCCACCCCCCCCCCCCCCAAAAAAAAAAAAAAAAAATAATAAAAAACAATTTAAAAAAAAAAACAAACAAAAAAACAAAAGATAGAGAGAGAGAGAGATAGAGGGATCGAGAGAGAGAGAGAGAGAGAGATAGAGAGAGGGCAAGGACTCAAGGATTTGAATGCCCAGTCTCTCATAGAGGCACCACAACCTTGGTAGCCCAAGTAACCATATTATACTAAGGGCACCCTTAGCTTTGGTTGGTTACTGTATAAGGGAACCCGTGAACCCAAAAAAAAGGGGTAACAGGGTACCACTGGGCTGCCAAGCAACCTACTAAAGTAGCTGGAGGACCAGAGGATCACGAGGTCATGGGAGCGATCCAGAAATGAGGCCAAGCCATAGATGGACTTGAGCTTCACTTCCTTACTCGCTTAGGGTTTAGGGTTTAGGGTTTAGGGTTTAGGGTTTAGGGTTTAGGGTTTAGGGTTTAGAGTTTAGGGTTTGGGGTTTAGGGTTTGGGGTTTAGGGTCTTTCTCAGTAGGGAATTAGGGCACAGCACCTTCTGTCCCTCCACGTAAGACCTCCTAAAACCTTCTAAGGGACTACGACTACACTAAACCCTAAACCCTCTTCTAAGAACTGGTAAGATGCCTTCCGATCCTGGGAGATGCAAACCTTGTCAAGGAAGACCATGACGGGCCTTCTTCCCACAAGGATCCTGAAGCGCTGCCAGTAGTTCGGGTTTAGGGTTTAGGGTTTAGGGTTTAGGGTTTAGGGTTTAGGGTTTAGGGTTTAGGGTTTAGGGTTTAGTGCGTAAGCTCCGCCAGGTGAAGATGCACATGGCCCCTGCGCAAGGATGACACGCGTGTATCTGAGGCTGTTTTCTGTTGCTCAAAAAGAAGTTCGAGGCCTCTGTGGGGGGGGGGGGTTTAGTTTGGGTCCCAGGGGCTTAAGCTACCTTCTTTAGAGAGATTCTGGGTGGTGCATTAAGCAAAACCACCAACTTAAGTTGCGATCTACCGGATTTTGACACCCTATTTACGTAGGTTATCAGCCGTAGCCTCTTGCTACGGTTGGGCTAAGGGACCTAGTGGGGATTTTGGGCTAGGGGCTGTTAAGCTAACGGGCAAGGGTTGCGAAAGTCGTAGACGAGAGCCTGTGTCCACAGCCATGGATCCCTTGATGAGAAAACGTGAGTCAGCAAGTCCCTCGGGGGGTCCAACACAGGACCCGGGAGATGCAGATGCTGCGTATGAAACAGCCTTGAGTCAAGCTTTGCATTGTAATGATGAAGCAGATTCCGAAAGAAGGGTGCAAGAAGCAGCCCTGACCGATTCGAGGAGTCCAAAGGAAGAAGCACCAGTGGAAGGGCTCGTTGCCAGTCCGTTCCATTCCGACAAAGTGCATGCTGAGGTGGAGTTGTTGCGGAATAGGCCAGCTACGTTAGATGGAGACGCGCAGCGTATCTCAGAGATCAACGAAACTGGTCTTGGCGACAGGATTTCCGGGGCATGTACAGGTGAGCCACAGTATTTTGCGGACGAAGGTTCAAGGGAAGCTACAGTGCGTGTGGCGCGGCTTGAGGGGTTTCCTGAGGGACAATCGGGCAGCGCAGCGCTTGCTGGAGAGATCCAGGCCGGCAGGAGGGACGACGCTGAACCGTTGGCTGCGGGATACGGAGTAGAGCGTGTTAGGCCCCACCCGTGTTCTGAAGGTCAAAGTGGGCTTAGTCCGGAACTGAGGAGTCCTGGACGTTGGAAGGGTGGTTTCCCTCAGCGGCTGGAAGAGGCGTATCAGATGAGACCCTTCCCAGGGGATAGCAGGGAACTGGTTCCAGCAATCGCCGACGGAACGTCTCGGTTGGAAGCGCTACTCTTGCAAGTGATGGAAGAGAATAGATCCTTGCGAATGCGCGTGGACCAGATGGAGACCCAATCGAGTTGGCATAGCGGACGAACACAGGCCACACCGCCTGAGCTGGAAGCACATATGAGTTCGCCGGTTTCACTGATGAGCAGTAGTGTAGGAGCTTCAAGGCCCACGGAAAGTAGGTCTGCTGGCATTCCGCCATTGACCCGGGGAGGGCCCCAGACTTTCAGTCCTCCACAGGCCCAGGGCGGACCTCAAGCTCCAATGTAGGTAGGTGGGGTTCAGAAAGGTATGGTGGTCCAGGGTGGGTCATTGGTGTCCGGGGACTTGGGGTCTCGGGAGTTGGTGCACTATCAGGGAAGACAAGCTGGGCTTCATCGAGAGGGCCATGAACCGCGTGAGCCATCCATGGAGTTTGACAGACGTGTTTTGGATCCAGTGCTTATGCCACCTGTCCCTAAACCAATCCTTCTGCCAGTTGAGCCGCCTGCCAGGTTGAACTCCACGGGTTTTACGGCAAAGGTTCTGGGTGTGTATGGGATGGAGTACGGGGGTGTACCGGGGTATGAGGGTGAGTCGGTTCACAATCAGGGTTTTCACACTCCTAGAGGTTGCGGTTCAGGGAATTGGGGGGTGGATTGCCAAGGGTATCCGGTATCTCCAGGAGGTACTGTGATTCGACCTCCGCCGATTCCACCGCCTCGGGAAGCTTGCCGGTCGCTTGCAGAAGCTGCAGTTCCAGGGGTTGGTGATGCTAGGATGCAAGCGCCAAATACTGGGGTGATAGGCAGCAGCGTGGGCGAGAGACCGGAAGAGCCGGCGAAATACATTTCGGAGCTGCCCAAGTTACCTGCGTTGGATGTGAGTACTTCTGCGGTTGCCTGTGGCAATTGGATGGCGCAGCTTAGGCAGGTGTTTGCCGGGTTGAGTCCTAGTGCGTTGGTCTGGTATCAAGCAGTGGAGATGGCAGCTACGAAGTGTTACCAGCGATGGCTGGTTGCTGATCCTCTGGATAGACTCAGCCTAGACCCAGGTGGAGTCGTCGCTGTGTTTGATGAGGTGAAGTTTCAGAGGGTGGAGTCTAGGGCTGTAAGCCTTATGTTGGCAGCTATTCCACAGAGTCTGAGGGACGAGGCGGTGTCGAACAGGTGGTTGACTACTGCTTCGTTGTTGTTCAGGGTACAGTGCGTCTACCAACCGGGTGGGTCATCCGAAAGATCCACGTTGCTGCGTCAGCTTACTTTGCCGGAGACTGTTTCTACAGTCACAACTGCGGTAGCAATGCTGCGGAAGTGGCAGCAGCATTTCTACAGGGTTCGGGAGCTGGGAGCTTCTATGCCAGATCCGTCGCTGTTGTTGGCAGGAGTTGATAAAGCAACTGCAGGACTGCTGGGGCAGCACCCGGCGTTGGGTTTTCGGGTGAACGCATTTCGGCATAGGGTGGCGTTGGATTACAATCCTACGGTTCCTACGGTGGTTCAGTTGGTAAGGTTAATCCAAGCCGAGTGTGAAGCGCTTGCGTTGGGCCAAGAGGGCCAGGTGCCCGATAAGAAAGCTAGGGCTGCAGCGGCCAGGGCGGAGGCTCAGAATGAAGGCTCAGTGCCCAAGGCACCAGCAGTGCCTAAGGGCGGGGAGCTCTCAGGAAATCCGGGGGTCAAGGCCCTTGAGGGAGGAAAGGGTGAGAAGGGGAAAGGAAAGGGCAAAGGAAAGTTTGAGGCCGGGGAGCCTAAACCATGCTTTAGCTTTGATGAAGGGAAGGGATGTAAGTTCGGTGACTCTTGCAGGTTTAGGCATGACCGAGTGCAGGCTCGGAAGTCGAAGCGTTGCCTGGCGTGTGGTCAAGAAGGTCATTTTCGCCCTGACTGCCCCATTGTAGCCCCTGCGAATAGGCAGGTGGTTACCCCGGATCCTTCCTCCCTTAAGGCTGGTGCCAAGCAAGGGTCCCCCAAGGCCAAGGTAACCCCACAAGCTAAGGGTATCTCTGAGGATAATTCAGCAACGGGGCAAAGGACTGAGGGCTCGTCTGGTTCTGTAGGAACGGGGAATGGGCAATCGTCAGCACAGGAAGCTTTGTTTGCGGAAGCCGCGAAGCTGCTGAAGGGAGTTTCGCTCAAGCCTTTGCAGGTTCCAAGTGAAGGGGTGCTCAGCGGGTTTGGTATTGATCGGGGTTGGCTTATGAGTGCTGTTGCCAATGCTTCGGATCCTCTCTATGCTGTAGTTGACAGTGGAGCTACGAATGCACTGCGACCTGCAGATCCGGGTGAGGTGGCAGAGTCCCAAGTCATCAGGGTTGATCTGGCTAGTGGCGGTACGCAGTTGCACATAAACAAGCATGGGACTCTGCTGAGCGAAGCAGCATGTCAAGTCATTATTCCTGCAGGGTACTTGGTTCAGCTAGGCTTCTCCATTGTGTGGGGAAAGAAGGGTTGCACCATTCGGCGTAAGGGAAGGATTCCATTGGAGGTAACGGTGGTGAAGGGTTGTCCCCTCATTGACAGGGAGATTGGGCTCCAGTTGCTTCGGGAATATGAGCAGTTAAGGGAACCGGGTTTGGGGGTCTCTGTGAGAAGTGTGGGTCTCGACGAGGGGCTACGGTGCCGCGTTCTAGACTTCGTTCATGGCTGGCCTTTCAGGTTGCTACAGGGTCTCTTTCTCGGGTGAATCAACTGGTCTGGCTGCGTAGTATGTTCCCTGATGTGCCGATAGGAGTCCTTAACCAAGTTGCAGGGGATGACGCCTTGCCGGGCACCTTGGATCCAGAAGGAACTCCATGGAATCATCGTCGCCGGCGGAGTATCTTGAAGGCTAAGCCAGGTGAGGTGCTCATACATCTGTTTGCAGGACAGCAGAAGTGGCGGGTCCCTGGCATCTTGGTTGAAGTTGAGAAGGCCCGTGGCTCCAATCTGCTAGCTAAGAACGTGTGGCAACACTTGTTGGTGTGGGCATGTAGTGGGGTTGTCGGGGGGGTCATAGGAGGGCCTCGATGTCGTACTTGTGAGGGCTCGGGACGGTGGGGTTTACCCGGCCTTCCAGGAAATCTAGCTGGGCTGGTTACTGAGGATAATATCCTTTGGCTAAGGTGCTTGTTCCTGTACGCAGTGGCCCAAGCGGCAGCGGATGGTCCCCCAAATCCCAGTGAAGGGTTGGCAGATGCAGGGTTGCTTGAGGGCTGTTCAGTATTCCCGGATGGGATCACAGATGCGGTAGATTTGGCGAAGTGGGCCTTGAAAAGAGCCGCAGCGAATTTGCATACAAGGGAGACTGGTGGATTCGGAACTCAGATCGGTGGGCGTCGCGTCCTGTTCGGATGGGAGCATCCACGTGATCCTGAGGAATATCTTGAAGGGGAGCAAGTGCCTGAGGGGGGTTGGACATCCTTTTGCGCGTTTCCTGAGTGGAGCTACTTTCGGGACATGTTTGGGGTTTATGTTGCCCACTTTGACCAGGGGAAGCTTGGGCACGCTAGACCTAAGACGACTACGTTTGCGACAACTTCGTGGTGGCTCTATGAGAATTTGGATCAGCACTTTCTGACCCCGTTGCAAAGGGCGGAGTTTGGGAAGGGGCCGATTCTTCCTCAGTCTCGACTTAAAGAGGTACCGTACTGGGCATCTTGGGCTCCAGGGCTTAGCCATATGGTGAGGTGTGCTTGGGGTCTCTGGTTCAGGGAACAGGAGAAGCAATCTGACGTAGAAGAGCGTCGCGTCTTTCTAGCTCGGCTCACAGAGGCGGAGCGGATTCAACGGCATGAGCGGAACGATCATGTGCCTTTTAGACGCGGGTGTCCGGTCTGCTTGGGAGCTCAAGCGCGCCAACGCTCGCATTGGGCTTCCTGCACCAACGTCCACTCCTTGTCATGTGATATAGCAGGGCCGTTTAAGAATGGACGCAGCTATGATCCGACTGCATCTGGGAGGGATCGGGGAGGAGGGTATCGCTACTTTCTGGCTTTTGCCTTTACTGTTCCAATCTTTCCGGTAGGTGCAGGGGTTGGGCTGATCGAAGACCCTGCACGGATGGCTTCGGTGTACTTAGACCCAGAGGGGAGTGATGGCGTTGGGGGTGAGGACCTTCCTGGGTTGCTGCCGGTTTTCAGTCTCGGGTCTGAGTCGGGGTTAAAGGGGGCACCAGTAGTTGACAAGGTTACGCATCGCATACGTGAAAAAGGTCCTGAGCCTGCAGATGTACCGGATCCTCAGGGTGACGTTCCTCCTGCTGTACCAACTCGCACTTTGTTTATGGGGGTTCCGCTGCGTACCAAGAAGGCCAAAGAAGTACTTCCTGCGGTGCAAGCTGTAGTCAACAAGTTAGAAGCCTTTGGGTTTCCTGTGCACAGATACCATGCAGATCGGGCGCAGGAACTTAAATCCAAGGCTCTAGTCAGCTGGTGTCGTGATCGTGGCATTCACCCTACTTGGACGCCTGGGGAGTCTCCTGCAGGCAACAAGGCCGAACTGGCGGTGCAGCAATTAAAGGGGCTTACCCGCAAGTTGTTGCATGTGGCAGGGTTGGATTCGGATTTTTGGCCGTTAGCGCTGCTTCATGCTAGTCGCCGCCATTGGGTCGCTCTTTGTCAGGACTTAGGAATTGTTCAGCCGGTCTTGCTACCATTTGGGTTGGAGCTACTGGCTCGTCAAAGGGCTCGATCGGGGTATGAGTCGCACTGGCGTTCGCGCACTGTAAAGGGGGTGTACTTGGGACATGCCCCGGATACACCGGGTGGGCATTTGGTCTTGGTCACTGAGGAAGCCGGTGATCGTAAAGTGTTGCTAACCAACTCCGTGTATCCTTTGAGTCCTCGGCAGGTGGATCCTGCCAAGCCTCGTTTTCGTTTGCGCGACAAAACGACTCCGCATTTGGTAAAAACTTTAGTCTTCGCGGATAGCCTCTCTCTGGCTCCGCCGGTGTCTGCCAGGGATGTGGCCAGGTTGGCACCTGGGGGGGAGTGGGATCAAAATGATTGGGAGTTCGATGGATCCGAGTGCGATTTGGACTCAGTGTCAGATTCGGGGGAGAGGCATTTGAAGGATCAAGGCGAGAATCCGGGTCGGGAATTTCGAGATCTCTGGTCGGAAACGATGGGAATGTTGAAAACCTGGGACTCCGAAGAGGAACAGCGACCGTTGCTTGGGAAGGGTGTTAAGGAAAGCTCAGAGGTTACTGTGATGCCTGGGGAGTTTCTTAGCACCTGCCAAGCAGAAGGGCGCTATGATTTCGCGAGCTGCCTGAAGGTACTGCGTGAGTGTGTAAATGGGTTTCCACGTCCTAGGAGACCGGGCCTAGAAGGGGATAGGGCGTATGCAATCCTGGGTTTGTACTCGCATGGAGGAATGATTGGGGTAACAAGTTTTGCTCGGAAGAATCCAGAACTCACTCAGTACCTGAATGGCTTTGTGGAGCGTCATTTTCCGGGCGGGAATTGGACGACGTTGTATCTGGCCCGCAACACGATTGCTTCTATCCATAAAGACTCTCGAAACTTTAAGAGGTTGCCTGCGTGGATTGTTGCCCTAGGGAGTTTTCAGGGTGGAGGTCTTTGGGTTGGCAGTGCCGATGGAAAGGGTTCCATTCTGAAAAGGCTGCCAGATGGTAGTGTGAAGTCAGGGCATGTGTTGGACATCCATGAAAGACCTCAGTTGTTCGACAGCCACATGTGGCATGAGCCTTGGGTAGGGACGGATCGTTGGGTACTTGTTGCCTATGTTCCGGGAAGACTTGAGGCTCTCGGTTCCGAGCAGCGTCAAGCTTTGGTTGAGCTGGGTTTCTCGGTAAAGGGCCTGTATGGCTTGGGTACCGGGGAGGTATCGGTTTCTCAGTGTAAGGCGAGCGTCTCATCTGAAGCTTGCGACGAGGGGCAAGATGCTGTCAGTGGGCCGGCCTGCTCAGAGTTTGCGAGTTCGTGGGAGGTTGAGCTTCCGTGTGAAATTCTGGACCCGGGGCAGTTTGAGCAAGCAGTGTCATTGCATCATCGGTATGTAGAGTACTGCTCACGAATTGCCGGGGAACTTGATAGGGCAGTTGAATGGGGCTGCGGGGGTCAGGTTTCCAAGTTGTTGAGGGTTGCGCGCTTGGAGTGTGGATGGTTTGAAGGGGTACTCAAAAGATGGAGCCCAGTCGAAGAAGTGCACACAAGCCTCAAGGGGTTAACCACGGACATTCCACTAGGGGAGCAGGAACTAGAGGCAGCAGAAGTGTTCTTGCAGACTAGGACTGTGAGTCTGGATGAGGCGCGTAAAGAGTTGGAGAAATGGAAAGGCCCAGGCCAAGACGAAGTAACAGCGTTAGAGGAGACAACTGGGGCTGTAGAGCGTGTCACGGTTGAGCAGGTTGAAGAGTGGATTCGGGCTGGTTACAAGGTTATGCAGGTGCCTGGAAAGGCGGTGCTGACGAGAAAAGCTGGAGTAGGTAGGCGCCGGCTACGGGCAGTGTGCTGTGGAAACTATTTGCCAGCGGAGTCCTTAGGTCTTGCCAAGTCTGATTTGTACGCCGGAGGAGTAGAAGCGCTCACCGTGCGAGTCGTGCTGGTCTATGTAGCGTCACGTCCTGACTGGTGTGGATGCATACTGGATGTGAAATGCGCGTTTCTATATGCTCCAGCGAGATCGATTCAGGAAGATGCTGAGAAGCAAACCATAATAGTGGTGCGTCCACCGTATCTGCTTGTCCAGCTTGGGCTGTTAGGTCCTCAGCACAGATGGAAAATCATTCGCGCGCTGTACGGCTTGCAAACCAGTCCAAAGGACTGGGCTTTGTATCGAGATCAGGAGCTAAAGGGCCTGGAGGTTTCTTTTGAGGATGAGGTGCTGACCCTATTCCAAGGAATTTCAGACGACAGTCTGTGGTTTGCAAAGAATGCAACAGGGGAGGTCAGAGCTCTGGTGGTGGTATATGTAGACGACATTGGTCTGTTTGGGCCTCGGTTGGTGCTTAGGGCGCTGGTTGATAAATTGAGGGAAAAGTGGAACACCTCGGAGCCAGTGTGGTCAAGTGACGAGACCCTCCTGAATTTCTGCGGCGTTGAGTTGCAGCAGCTCAAAATGGGCTGGAGGCTCACGCAACGGGCGTACCTTCAGGAGTTGCTTCAAAGGTATGAGGTCGAATCCACGGCAAGCGTGCCCATCGCTCGGTGGACCCTCCGGATGAGGATTGTGGTATCTCTGATGTACGTAGGGCACAGGGCATCGTTGGTGCTTTGTTATGGGCTATGACTAGATCTAGACCAGACCTTATGTTCGCTATTTCGAAGATGAGTCAGTATGCTACCAAAGCACCAAAGAAGGTTTTTGAAACTGGTCTTCAAGTTTTGGCTTATGTGCGTCAAACCCTGGATCTGGGATTGGAGTTTCCGATTGACGTTGGGCCTACATTTGGGAGTCACGGCCAGTTATCACTGCCTCGGAACAAGGGCGTGCTGGAGGTGTATTCGGACAGTTCGCATGCTCCTCAGGGAGGCCGCTCAATGCAATCTACCGTCCTAATGTGGCGTGGCGGATGCATCCTCTGGGAAGCTTCCCGGCAAGCGTTTACGACCTTGTCATCTGCTGAGTCGGAGCTAGTATCGATGATCCACTCGATTCAAGCAGGAGAATCGGTGCAGCCCATCATCGAGGAATTGACGGAGGAAGACACCTTGCTGTCTCTTCAGGGAGACAATGCAGCATCAGTGCGTGCGTTTGAGCCAGCCGGAGGTGGATGGCGGAATCGCCATCTACGGATGCGTGCAGCGGCAGCGAGGGAGCGGGTTGCAGCAGGGGCTCTTGTGGTTCAACATATTGCTGGGGAATATCAAGTTGCTGATTTAGGTACCAAGCCGCTGGGAGGTAGTAGGATCACGGCATTGCTTTCCTTGGCAAATGTGAGGGAGGGATCCATGTCAAAAGGTATGCGGGATGGTTTCAACACTTCAGCTCGAGCACTGAGAAGGGTGCGGGCATGCGCCTCCCAGCCAGAATGGCTTAGTTGTCCCACGGCAGCCTTGGTATTGACCATGCTAGCAATTGTGCAGCCGACCAGAGCTCAACCCATGTATCAAGAAGAGAAATGGGGTTGGGTGTGGATTGTCGCTTTTGGGTTGGTGATGTTGGCTGCGGTGATTTGGTATGGGGGCTTGGGGCTAGCGGTTCCTGGTTCCTTGGAAGCTCGGGGGCAAGTTTGCGAGGAATCGGAGTCGGGGTCCGAGGCGCCAGAGCCGAATGGAAGCTTGAGGGAGTCGTGTGCATATGAGCCACAGGGACTTGATGATTCCTTGGAAATGCCAGGGACATGTGCTGAGATTGGGGGGAGTTGTGGGAGCAACGAACTTCCCACAGGAGGCTTGAGGCCCGTAGGAACTGTTTTTCAGGGGCAGGCTTGCGGTTCCCAGGATGGGGGGAGTTGGCTAGATGGTAGGGCTTTATCTGCAGTGTCAGTCCTGGATGGGCCGTCTGAGCTCGCATTTGCTGCGGCACAAGCCGCCTTTGAAGTTTCTCAGTCTGGGAGCTTAGGGCTTGGCCACGGTGATCCATTTGCAGTTGTAGCTTCGGAAGCTGAGATTGCATTTGCTGCGGCGCAGGCAGTGTTTGAAGCTTCTCAGCCTGGGTTTCTTGGGCTGGGTTATGATCCTTCCTACGTAGAGGTAGATCCTGAGGGGCAGTCTGAAGGGAGTGAGCGACTTGATGCTGTTCCACGTCGACTCCCGGAAGATTATCAGCCACCAATCGGGTTCACCAGGCAGCCATCATTCTTTAGGGAGGAAGAATCGTCCGGTTCGGCTAGTTCTTCGAGCACGTCGGAGGGGCCTGCGGGGGCTGAAGGTCATGTATCTTGGGAGGCGCGGCTGTTGCCGAGCAGACACCCGGGGTTGGTGATCCGGCTTCGTCTTCAGATTTTAGCCGATTCGTGACGACCACGGATGGTAGATTAGTGGCATGGAGGGTGCGGGATGAGCGCATCCATTTCCTGAGAAGGCTTCTAACCCTAAGCGGGGAAGTCATTGTGGGGCTCTTAGGAGTTGGGTCTGGGGAGGTTCGTTGGTTGAGGGAAGTTGCGGCCACTTATCGGTATGGGATTGCAGGAGCGTGTGAGCGATTCAGGAGTTTGGGAAGTGTAGCTCCAGGGTTCGTTCCGAGAGAGGGAGATAGCGATCCATTGGAGGGAAGGGCTGATGCTTCAGAACCAGGGGCCTCTGAAACGACCGAGTCCTCAAGATTATCTTCTGCCAGTAGCGGTTCAGAATATTTTTCCCCAGAGGGTTCCGAGCTAGAAGCGGCTTCGGAGGAGACAGGGGTTTGGTTGACTGCATCACTTGGCGTGTGGTATCGAGCTGGAGCTGAAGGGTTCTGGATGCGGTATGTAGATGATGTTGCGTGGGTTCCTTTGCCAGGGTGGTCTTTGTCACAAGTTCAAGTTGTGGTAGAGGGACTGTGCCGCGATGACTGGTCTGAATTTCAAGCGATGATATCGGCGCCAAGAGATGACAGCTCGGAGGATTGGGGAAGCGATCTAGGGTCAGAGGAATCGTGCTTGGCAGTGAGTCTTTGGGCCCTTGGATGTTCGAGCGTGGGTTTTCTTGCGGGAGTGATGAGCACTATGATGTGGGTAGGATGGATTCAGGGTTGGACTTTGGTGTTGTTCTGTGTGTATCTAAGCTCGTTTTGGGTCAGGATTGCAGCTTTGTGGGGAGGTGGTAGCATTGAGGACGGTTTTCGAAGGCTGGTGATTCTAGCTGAGGAATTTTACCTATGGTTTCCTTTGGTGGGGAAATCTGGTATCGTTGGTTTGTCTTTTCCACGAGCGAATTCCTGGAACTTCGTGGTGCTAATAGTCCTGTTCGTGGTGTTTGGTTTCTCGAGTCCAGCAAATGCACAAATCGTGATGGAGAAGGCTCTGGTGGTGTACGAGGAGATACAGCCGGAGGTTACAGCTGCGACATGCGAAATCCAAGAGACTACTGAAGCCCTTGACACCTCAGAGGTTAGTCTATGGTGGTTTGGGTTGATATGGTCAATTTTTAGCGTTGGAGTTTGGGAAGCATTTAAGTGGACTGTGAAGAGGACTATTTGCCGTAGAAAAAACAGTACAGCCGAGAGTCAAACTGAAGACCAGTACGTCATTGAACTTCCATTGCCAAGCGGAGTGCCACACAGGGCTCAGATTTTGTTCTGTCTCTGGCGTGCTGGGTTCCACATTGATGTACAGCAGTATCCCGAGGAAGTCCAAGACGAGTACCATAGCTATGTTGGGGCGTATCTGGTTAGGGTTGACAGGGGTGAAGACTCGTCGGATTGAGCGTAAGCACTTAATGGGTGCCATGAACCAAGAGGACTCTTTCGAGTGGGATATTGTCCGATTTTGTCGTAGGGCTCTGGAAGGAACGGAGCATGTGTAGAAGAAGTGTGAGGTTTATGTTAAGAAGCCTTCCGTTGAAAGAGCGGGCTTTTAGAGTTCCGAAGTTTTGTGCTTTGGTCCCTGAGGCTTCTAGGCGACAAACCTCCACGAAACGTACAGGGGGCGCTGTGGGTTCTATCTCTCGATCGTCCGGACATTCTTTAAGAGATGTCCGCTTCGAAGAAACGGGAAGAACCAAGCTTTTCCCAACCCTTTTGATGCGAGGGGTGCCGATTCATCTGGCGCTATGTTTTCCAGCCCTTGTCGTCCAGCTTTGTAGGCTGGGCGAGGGGGAGTGCGTAAGCTCCGCCAGGTGAAGATGCACATGGCCCCTGCGCAAGGATGACACGCGTGTATCTGAGGCTGTTTTCTGTTGCTCAAAAAGAAGTTCGAGGCCTCTGTGGGGGGGGGTTTAGTTTGGGTCCCAGGGGCTTAAGCTACCTTCTTTAGAGAGATTCTGGGTGGTGCATTAAGCAAAACCACCAACTTAAGTTGCGATCTACCGGATTTTGACACCCTATTTACGTATTTAGGGTTTAGGGTTTAGGGTTCAGGGTTCAGGGTTTCGGGGATCCTGAGGCGCTGCCAGTAGTAGAGGAACAGGAAGAAGGTGATGTAGCCGAAGGAGGCAATCCATGGTTGGACCGGAAGCATTCCCACCTCGGGTTGGGCCGTGAAAAGCATGCTTTTAAGGTTTAGGGTTTAGGGTTTCGGGTTCAGGGCTTAGTGTTTAGGGTTGAGGGCTTGGGTTTAGGGTTTAGGGTTTAGGGCTTAGGGCTTAGGGTTTAGGGCTTCGGGTTGGGGGTTTAGATGTACCAAAAGGGTCCTCGTTGTATTCAAAAAAGGGAAATGCCATGGAATAAAGCTCCAATGGGTTTAGGTTTTTGGTCTGCTTGTAGGGTTTAGGGTTTAGGGTTTAGGGTTTAGGGTTTAGGGTTTAGGGTTTAGAGTTTAGGGTTTAGGGTCCTCTGAAGCCCAGAAAGAGGAGAAAACAGGAAATGTGCCAAAAGCCTACCTAGCGGCTGATGCACCTATGCCGGCTAGGAGGCTGGCAATGAAGCAAGCCGCAGTGGCAGCGCGGCAGTTGAAGTGTATCCTCAGGGGTTTCGGGTTTAGGGTTTAGGGTTTAGGGCATAGGGTTCCTCCGGGTTGGTGTTGACACTTTAGGGGGGAGGTTCATAGGGTTCAGCACTAGGGGGGGGGGGGGGGATCGTGGGTTTTTTCGCCAGAAAAGCAGAAGTGCAAATAGTGTATGTCAGCTGCAGTTCTGATTCTCCCAACCCTCAACCCTCAACCCTCAACCCTCAACCCTCAACCCTCAACCCTCAACCCTCAACCCTCAACCCCCAACCCCCAACCCTCAACCCTCAACCCTCAACCCTCAACCCTCAACCCGCAACCCTCAACCCTCAACCCTCAACCCTCAACCCTCAATCCTAAACCCCAACATCGAGCTGAGGGGCTGGAGTGACAAAAACTTCAACCAACGGGATGTCCCCCAATCATGGCTGAAGAACTTGTCATACCGTTCCACACGCGTCGTGAGCCGTTGTTGCCTTGCTTAGGGTTTAGGGTTTAGGGTTTAGGGTTTAGGGTTTAGGGTTTGGGGTTGGGGGTTTGGGGTTTGGGGTTTAGGGTTTAGGGTTTAGGGTTCAGGGTTCAGGGTTTAGGGTTTAGGGTTTAGGGTTTACGGTTTAGGGTTTGGGGTTTCGGGGTAGAGGGGTTTAGGGTTTAGGCTGTGGTGGATCTACCTGTTCTTGCTTGCTGCCGCTGCTGCAGCTGCTGCTTTTCGTGGAGGCGGTGTATTGCTGGCCTTTGTCGGCCGCAAAACCCCAAACCCCCC